GTTTGATGAAGCGCAGCGAACAAGCATGTTGCTGGGACTGACAGTGCGCTGCTTTGGCAATCCGTAGACACATGTGCCGCCCGCCAGCCCTACCCGAGGGAAGTTGCAGCCCGTTTCTTGAGCAGCTCCCTTCGCACCATTGGCCCGGTGTGGGGCTCCCGTGATGCTTGTGACCACCTTTGAGCCACGCGCTTCAGGGCTCAAGCGTATGACAGCGGGGCTATGAGCTAATGTGTCCGCTGGGGTGGTCTCATGTGGCCGAGAACACATGTGCATGTAACTCGGCCGTTGGCATGGCACTCACGGAAAGTAGGGGAGGCCGACAGTTGCTTTTGAGTTTGATGAAGCGCAGCGAACAAGATGTGCATGTTGCCTGGGACTGACAGTTGCGCTGCTTTGGCAATCCGTAGACACATGTGCCGCCCGCCAGCCCTACCCGAGGGAAGTTGCAGCCCGTTTCTTGAGCAGCTCCCTTCGCACCATTGGCCCGGTGTGGGGCTGTGATGCTTGTGACCACCTTTGAGCCACGCGCTTCAGGGCTCAAGCGTATGACAGCGGGGCTATGAGCTAATGTGTCCGCTGGGGTGGTCTCATGTGGCCGAGAACACATGTGCATGTAGCTCGGCCGTTGGCATGGCACTCACGGAAAGTAGGGGAGGCCGACAGTTGCTTTTGAGTTTGATGAAGCGCAGCGAACAAGATGTGCATCGTTGCTTTGGCAATCCGTAGACACATGTGCCGCCCGCCAGCCCTACCCGAGGGAAGTTGCAGCCCGTTTCTTGAGCAGCTCCCTTCGCACCATTGGCCCGGTGTGGGGCTCCCGTGATGCTTGTGACCACCTTTGAGCCACGCGCTTCAGGGCTCAAGCGTATGACGGCGGGGCTATGAGCTAATGTGTCCGCTGGGGTGGTCTCATGTGGCCGAGAACACATGTGCATGTAACTCGGCCGTTGGCATGGCACTCACGGAAAGTAGGGGAGGCCGACAGTTGCTTTTGAGTTTGATGAAGCGCAGCGAACAAGATGTGCATGTTGCCTGGGACTGACAGTTGCGCTGCTTTGGCAATCCGTAGACACATGTGCCGCCCGCCAGCCCTAATCGAGGGAAGTTGCAGCCCGTTTCTTGAGCAGCTCCCTTCGCACCATTGGCCCGGTGTGGGGCTGCCGTGATGCTTGTGACCACCTTTGAGCCACGCGCCTCAGGGCTCAAGCGTATGACAGCGGGGCAATGAGCTAATGTGTCCGCTGGGGTGGTCTCATGTGGCCGAGAACACATGTGCATGTAGCTCGGCCGTTGGCATGGCACTCACGGTAAGTAGGGGAGGACGACAGTTGCTTTTGTGTTTGATGAAGCGCAGCGAACAAGATGTGCATCGCTGCTTTGGCAATCCGTAGACACATGTGCCGCCCGCCAGCCCTACCCGAGGGAAGTTGCAGCCCGTTTCTTGAGCAGTTCCCCTTCGCACCATTGGGGTGTTCTGGTGATGCTTTTTATGTTTCATGAAGCGCATTGATATGACTGTCCATGTTGGCTGATTCTGGCTGCACATCGCTGTTTGCATGCAAGGCATTGCCGCTGACGTTTGCCCAATAAGACAAACGCGCTCGGGGTAGCTGCAGCTCCTTACAACCCTAAACCCTAAACCCTAAACCCCAAACCCCAAACCCCAAACCCTAAACCCTAAACCCTAAAACCTAAACCCTAAACCCTGAACCCGAAGTCCTAAGCCCTAAACCCAAGGATGGTGCGGTGCGCCTGACGGTCTACGGCCATCAGCGGAAGGACCCAGAAGCGTTCAGGGTTTTTGGTTGGTTTAGGGTTTAGGGTTTAGGGTTTAGGGTTTAGGGTTTAGGGTTCAGGGTTCAGGGTTTTTGGGATTTAGGGTTTCGAGCTCAGGGTGTTCAATGCTGCAGGCCGTGCAACCACAGTGCAGTTAAGCCTGCAAAACCGGCAGGATGAATATAGGGGTCGGATTTTTTTTTAAAAATAGTATCCCCTCATAATCCCTTTATAAACAAACTACAGCAACCCCCAAAACCATATTCTAGTTATTCAGGCCCCCTAGTTTGGTTTTCCCTTCCGACAGAGCTACTGCTGCCTTGCCCCCTCTACACATCTGGGGGTGGGAGTTTGAGGGTTGAGGGTTTAGGGTTTAGGGTTTAGGGTTTAGGGTTTAGGGTTTAGGGATACCCTGCAGACCGCTGAGGCAACCCCACTAGATCCTCCCGCATCAGAGGCCTAGCCGCCTTGGAACTGTGAGCCCCCGCCCTGTGTGCGCTGGCAAGCAAAGCAGGACCGAGGCTACTATGCGCAGGCCAGACACCTACTTGGAGGTTCATGGTACTTAGCAACTAATGATAACTGTACTTGTAAACCACTTATGGGCCCCTTTAAGTGCCCCAATACGGTTAGAAGTACAGTTCTAAGTACAGTTATATTTAGTTACTAAGTACCATGAACCTCCAAGTAGCCGAGGGATGTGGCAACAGGTCTCCAAAAACTCGGACTCTCCGTCGTGTGGTCTGAAGCCCTAAACCCTCCAAGCCCTAATTAATCCCTGAGCACCCTAAACGCCCTAAAACCTAAACCCCTAAACCCTAAACCCTAAACCCTAAACCCTAAACCCTAGACCCTAAACCCTAAACCCCTTGGGGACTCCCTGGCTGTTGCCTGGGTGGAAGGTTGCGGGTTCAGGGAGCACCTTGTGCTTCGGAAGGCTTCGCACCCTTTGTTTCAGACCAGCCTTTGCCTCCACCCAGAGCCCTAAACTTTATCATAGTGGGGTAACATTTTACATTTTTAAGGGTACTTAAACTCAATAAGGAATAAAATTTTAACATTTTATTACTATCCCAACTATGAACCAGTAAACCTCCGAGGAAAACCCCTAAGCCCGCCGCCCCAAAGTGTACACCCTTCAGCACTTTGATTGTCGTGGCCTAACGTGACATGATATGTTGTGACGAGAGTATGCGTTAGAAGCTGCAACATACCATTGCGAGAACAGTTTTTGACTTGTTTCAACTTCGACCACTAACCCCGAAACCCCAAACCCTGAACCCTAAACTCTAAACCCTAAACCCCAAACCCAAGCCCTGAACCCTAAACCCTTAAACCCCAAATCCCGGCTGAAGGCCCTGACGCTTCCGCTGGGACTCCTCCTGCGCTGGCGCTGTCGGCTCCCGGGCGAAGGCGCCGAGGTCCCCGCCGGCGTTGGTTGTGTTTTTGGGGCTTCGGGTTTTCGAGTCTTAAACCCTAAGCCCTAAACCCTAAGCCCTAAACCCTAAACCCTAAACTCTAAACTCTAAACCCTAAACCCTAAACCCTGAGCTTCATTTGGGTACTTATACGTAGGGTTCTAAGTAGGGTGACCGTGGTGCTAACCTTTCTTTAGGGGCACTTAGAACCCCGACCTTTCTGTCCAACTCAGGAAGGAGGTTGGCTTGGAAGAAAGTGTAAAGTTTTCGGGGCCCCGTGGTCCCCACGTAGGCCAGTGCCCAGAGACGTGCTGGTTTAGGGTTTAGGGTTTAGGGGTTAGGGTTTAGGGTTTAGGGTTTAGGGTTTGAGGGTTTAGCATTCATGGGGCCGCCAAATCCACCGAAAGAAGGTCCAGGACGCCCGGCTCATCTCATTCTTCGGATACGACGCCATCATCTACTGCGCCATGGCAGAAACCCTAAACCCTAAACCCTAAACCCTAAGCCCTAAGCCCTAAACCCTAAACCCTAAACCCTAAACCCTAAACCCTAAACCTGAGCCGCCGAAGCAGGGAGGCCTGGTGTGCTCGGGCCCTTGCTGTCGTTTGACTCGTTTGAAGAGAGCCAGGACCGTAACCGCTGAACCCTGCACCCCCCTAATCTTCTCTAATCCTTGAACCTTGCACCCGAAACCCTTCACGCTTAAGCCCTGCACCTGACATCCCAAAGCCCTCTAATGCCGCCAGCCCATCAGCGAAACCCAAGGCGACATACCCGTCTCAGATGGGCAGGCGGGAATGGTTGGGACGGGTTTGGCATCGAAGGGGAAGTTCTGAGCCATGCACCAACACACAATGAAGCGCATGGCCTTAAGGGCCATGGACAAACTCCAATATAGGGGGGAAGTTCATTCAACCGGGTATTGTGAGTACGGTAGCTTATTTTGCCGTCCTGACAAACCTTCCGAAGTGCGTGGTTCGATTTGAGTAGGTGATGTTGTGTATTTTGGGTAGTCTATATCACGGGGTGAGGGGAGCATACTGGTACTTCTTCATTCTCCGGTGTTCCTCCATACCACATGCTCTCCAAAGGGAGGGGTGGTCAGGGACGGGGGCGGGGGTTTGGCCGTTGCTTCCAGGTGGAAGACCTCCTTGAGATCAGGCCAGGCCCGTGCGCAAGGTTGATTCAGGAAGTGTCGCACAACTGTCCAAACCTTGTTGCGGCTGTAGGCTGAGGCAACGACCCTGAACCATGTAGTTCTGTGATCAAAGCTGTTTGTTGCACATCCTGCAACTTGTCGAGACCATGGAAGAGGGCCAACCGCCAGCTCCATAGTAGGCGGCATCCCGTTCGATTTTGTTGGGCAGTTGGGGTTCGATGTAGGGGCGCCCTTGTGTTGGGGAGTTTGGCAGTACACTGCCTCCACCTCACACCCCACATAACCCCAAGGACCGTAAATTCAGCCTCACAGAGAGAGCGACAGAGCGAGAGAGAGAGAGGGGCGGGGCGTGGACGCCCGGGGGGTTCCCCCATGCCCCAAAACGAGAAAGCAAGAAAGCAAGAAGGGAAGAAAGAAAGAAAGAGGGAAAGGAAGAAAGAAAGAAAGACAGAAAGACAGAGTGAGAGCGAGAGCGAGAGCGAGAGCGAGAGCGAGAGCGAGAGCGAGAGAGAGAGCGAGAGAGAGAGACCCTAGGCCCTAAGCCCTAAGCCCTACGCCCTAAGCCCCAAGCCCTGAGCCCTAAGCCCTAAGCCCTAAGCCCTAAACCCTAAACCCTAAACCCCAAACCCTAAACCCTAAACCCTAAACCCAGACCAGAGAAAGGCCGCAGCTCCTGGCAACTCCGGGCACGTGGACGCCGCCGCCGTTGCGGCTGTGTCCTGCGACGACCCTCCGACACGAAGGGGGGGGGGGGAGGTTTCAGGGGCTTAGGGTTTAGGGTTTAGGGTTCCAGGGGCTTAGGGTGTAGGATGGTGCAGGGGTAGTTTCTTTGGTTGCGCGCGTGTGTATTTCTTAGGGTCGGATGTTCGTGGGCTCAGGGTCCAGGGCAGGGTTTAGGGTTTAGGGTTTATGGTTTAGGGTTTAGGGTTTAGGGTTTCGGGCTCAAGGTTGGGAGAGGCCTGTGCTCTAAAGTGCTCGAAGGGGGGACCATAGGATTCATCACGGGATGGGGTGTGGGGGCTCTCGAACCCTAAGCCCTGAAGCGTAAAGCCCTAAACCCAAAAACCCTGAAACTCTAACACCCTAAAACCCTAAAGCCCTAAAAGCCCTGAAGCCCCAAAACCCGAAACCCCAAAGCCCTAAAGCCCTAAAACTCCGAAACCTTATAGAGGACGCGCAAAGCCTTAATCCCGAAACCCTGAACCCCAAAACCCAAAACCCAAAACCCAAAACCCTAAACCCAAAACCCGAAACCCTAAACCCTAAACCCTAAACCCTAAGCCCTAAGCCCTAAGCCCTAAGCCCTAGACCCCCACACCCCGCACCCCACACCTCGGAGCTGGGCAGCCCAGGAGGCCAAAGTGGCGCCTCGCCGTCGCTTGCTCGGCATCTGGCCTTTCTTTCCCCTGTTTTTGTTTTGTTTTTAAGGTTTAGGGTTTAGGGTTTAGGGTTTAGGGTTTAGGGTTTTTGTTGTTTTAGGGGTTTTAGTGTTTTTAGAGCTTTTCGGGTTTTCAGGGTCTTTAGAGTTTTTAGGTTCTTCAAGGTTTTTCGGGCTTCTAGAGCTTTTAGGGTTTTCAGGGCCTCTAGAGTTTTTAGGGTTTTCAGGGTTTTTAGGGTTTTACGAGTTTTTTGTGTTTTCATTTTTTTGGGGGGTTTTCAGGGTTTTTGGGTTTTTTCTGGTTTTTAGGGTTTTTCGGGTTTCGGGTCCAGGGTTTAGGAGGTTTTCGGGCCTAGGGTTTAGGATCCATGTACTTCCACACTGATTGTTGGTAGAATGGGGCCTGCTTTTGTGATGGCCCATCGAGGGTCTGTCGGGGTTTCCTCTCGACTGGGGGCCTTTCTGGTTTCAAAGAGGGTGCCCTGAACCCCAAACCCCAAACCCCAAACCCCAAACCCCAAACCCTAAACCCTAAACCCTAAACCCTAAACCCCAAACCCTAAACCCTAAAATCCAATCCCTAAACCCTAAACCCTAAACCGTGAGCTGGAAGGCCTGCACCCAGCCACTGCACACATTCGAAAAGATCCTCGGCTGGGGTTGAGTTGAGGGTTTAGGGTTTTTACAGGCTTCTGAGGGCTTTTTGCGGGTTTTTGAGGGCGTTGTGGGTTTTCAAGGGTTTAGGGGTTGAAGGGTTTGAAGGGCTTAGGCTTTGAGCCTCCAAGCCCTTTGGCCTGGATTGTAGCTGCGGTTTTGACGGGGGTCTCTCAGCTGCCCCGCAGTCTCGAAACCCCCAAAACCCGCCAAACCCCGTGAGCCCTCAAAGAAACCCTAAACCCTAAACCCTAAACCCTAAACCCTAAACCCCAAACCCCAAACCCTAAACCCTAAAGTCCCCAGCCCCCCAAAGCCCCCCAAAAAGCCTCGAGGATGGAGACGCTGGCGCCCGGGTTGCTGGCCGAGTTCCTGGAGACTTGGGACTTTGGGGTTTAGGGTTTAGGGCTTAGGGTTTGGGGTTTGGGGTTTAGGGTTTAAGGTTTAAGGTTTAGGGCTTAGGGCTTAGGGTTTAGGGTCAGAGCCGCCGGGGGCCTCTAGGGCGTAGGTATGGGTTTAGGCTTCGTGGGTTTTAGGGTTGAGGGCTTTCTTCAGGGTTGAGGGTGTAGGCGGTTTAGGGTTTAGTTTTCAGGGCTTTTGGGCTGCCGTAGGGGTGCAAGGTTTGGGGGTTTAGGGTTGTAGGGTTTCAGGGTGCATTTTTTTGAGGGCTTCAGGCTTTTAGGGTTAAGGAACGGTCTTATTGGCCCTCGGCCGAGGGCCTCACAGCCCGAGCGCCCAAGCGAAAAGAAACGGAAAGGTGAGGGCCAACCCTCACCGTCTGTCCTGGGCCAGCGGACATCGGCCTTTTTTACGACAACGTCAGTACTAAGGGATGGCCGGCGCGCAGACCACCTTTAGCGTAGCTCAAGTATAACCCCAAATCGTAATACTTTGGTCCAGACTTTTTGTTGAAAATGGAGAGCAAAGCCTAAAAAGGGCTTGGTCGCCGCAGACGAAGGAACGAGCTTGCACAGATGCACAAACGAGCTGCGGGTGGATTGTGTTGCACCTGTGTTTGCTTGTACGAGGCCCTTCTTATTCAGAGGGGTTGGCTTTCTGACAGGTGCTTTCCTCAAAGCCCATGGCATGGAGAGGGGTCTGTTTTCGGAAGACAAAAATAATAGAGCGTCATATATGTCAAAAAAGTAGAAAGTTCTAGAGAATATCATGGACAGCCATGAAAAACACGGCAGAAGATTCCATAGAGAAAGTCGTGGAGAAGCTATAGAGAAGGCCATCATTGCGGCAACCATAGAAACTCAGAGACAACTCGATGCTGGTTCGTAATTTTCCACTTGATGCTAGGCCGGTTGGAAATCCAGAAAGCTGGGCAACATCAAAAACCATATTCCGCGATGTTCGAAAGGATGTCTAGCACATCTTAGACAGCAGAGTGCTAGAGCTGCTAGATGCATGCAGCTTGGAGAATACCTTGATCACCTTGCGCTCGAAGGTATCGGAGTTCGAATGGCTGACGCAAGTTACTTTGGCCGCAGGGCTTGTGCCCCATCCCTGCTGAGGCTTCTGCGGGTTGAGGCAGCCTGCAAAATGGATTCGCGTGCTCAATTGCCTCCCAGGTGTGTTGCGCACGTGCTCAAAGTTGAATTCCTCCCAATGCTGAGGAAGAGGGCTCCTGAACCCTAAGCTCTAGACCTTTAACCTTTAAACGGAAGCCCTTTACCTTTAAATGAAACCCTACAAAGCCCTAAACCCTATGCTCTTCACCTTTCAACCCTAAGTACTCCTTAAGACCTGAATGCCGAAGCAAGTGGCACAGACAGGGTTCGGTGGTTCGACCAGCGGCGGTACACGACCTGACCCCGTAAGGCGGCCGTGGGATTAGATGCACACAGTTGAGCTTCTTCGGCCCCAGGTTCTTAGCTTTTGGGGTTTGTGGTGTAGCGTTTAGGGTTTAGGGCAGTTATCGTTTAGGTTTCAGGGTTCAGGGTTTAGGGTCTTGGGCCTTGAATCAGGGTTGGCAGGGTGCCATTGATCTCAGTCCTCAACCGTGCACTCAGGCCTAGGCGCGCGTCATGTTGGAGGTCCGATTGGCCTCGCGGAGGACAACCTCGAAATTGACAGTCAGGTCTCCATGGCGCCTGCCTTTTTGCCTCCCCGCCGCCCTGTGGCAGTACTGCACGGGTTTGCCTGATTTTGTTGTTTTCTTGGGGGTCTTTGGCTCTCTTGCGCGCAGCGGCCTATTTCACGATGCCTATTAAGCCTGTCTGCAAACACTCTTTGACACAGGGTTTGCCTCATGTTCTTGCTGTCTTGAGGGTGTTTGGTGCGTGCGCACGCACACGCACGCTATTGACCGCTGTTTAGCGCCCTTCTTGCAAGCACCCTACCTGATGTTCTTGTTTTCCTGCTGTGACTCAACAGAGTTCGCCTGCTCTTTTGGTTTTCTTGAGGGTGTCTGGTGCTTGGCTGTGCACCCCTCTTTAATGCATTTTTGGCAATTACGCTTGTGACGCAACAGAGGTTTCGTGATGTTTCTGCTTTCTGGAGGGTGCTTGAGCTGTCATGTGCTTTCGCGCACGCTCCCGATTTCCTGCCGCTCTTGAAAGCACTCTGACACAACAGAGGTGGTCTTTCTTGCGTGCACCTATGTACTGCCTGTCTTGCTAGACACACAGCAGTTTGCCTGATGTTCTTGTTTTCCTGAGGGCGTTTGTTGCTTTCTCGCGGGGTCCCGTGGATTATCAAGCTCGCATGAAGCTTCCGGCCAGGAAGTCCGGATGGTCCATCCATACGAGGACCTCCACCGCGGCCAGCTCCTATACGTCACTAGCGCACAAGCCAGTAAAGAACCGTGCGCTGTTGAGGTGACGCCAAATGGTGGGTTCCTAACTGGAACTGTCAAGGACCGGACTCAAGCTCTGATAAACTCCACGCACTCAAAAAAATAAGGTGACCGCCCGAAAGCGATACCCTTAAGAGCTTTGAATGTTTTTCAACCTCGATTCCAGTACTAGACTTGCGCTACAAGCATCTCTACAGCCGCTCTGCGCCACACCACTTAGCCTGATGTTTTCTAAGCCTTGCGCTTGTAGCCAATCTGTAAACCCTACTCTTCTCGCCCAGCACGGTTTTTGGTTTTTTTAGCGAGAGGGGGGACGGGAGCTACACGATCCAGGTTGGTACCTAGCAGGAGAAAAGCAGGCAGACAAGAAGGGAGACAACGTGCCGACTGAGCTCAGGTCACTTGCCTTTGCCCTCCCGAAGTTCAATGACATAGGATGGTCCGGTCTTGTCTGTGCTTTGCGTCTTTCTCGCTGAAAAATCTCCGCCGACCCATTCCGCCAGCTTTCTGCACCGGTGCTGAGAAAGACCCCAGCGCCAATGAAATTGCTGGATTTGGATTGCATTGAAAACAGATGCCTTCGCGTGACATGCCGCCCCCCACACCCCCTGGGTGTGTAGGGGTGCCATTTACACATGGTACTTACTGCCGCTGCGCGGCGAGACGCCCCAAACCCTAAACCTTGAACCCGAAACCCGAAACCCGAAACCCTAAACCCTAAACCCTGAACCCTAAACCCTAAACCTTTCCCTAAACCCTAAGCCCTAAACCCTAAGCCCTAAACCCTAAACCCTAAACCCTCAACCTTAAACCCTAAACCCTCAACCCGAAACCCCAAACCCGAAACCCTAAACCCTAAACCCTAAACCCTAAATCCTAAACCCTAAACCCTAATCCCTAAACCCTAGCCCTTAAACCCTAACCATATAGAGGGGGTAGTAGGGGAACCCATGACACTCAGGACTACCATTTCCTCCTGGGCATCGAGCACATCACCGTCTTCGACGCCGATGGCTCCGTTGAAGAGCCTTTGGTCTCTGAGATGCTGCCCTGAACCCTAAACCCTAACCCTAAACCGTAAACCGTAAACCCTAAACCCTAAACCCTGTCTTTCTATGTATATTCACACCCCAATGGGCTTCGTCGGCATGTGGTTTGTTTCTGGGCCCTAAGCCCTGACACCCCTTCGTCGGCATGTGGGATTTTTTCTTGGGCCCGGAACTAGAATCTGAAAGATGAGGGGGTCATTAAGGGTTTAGGGTTTAGGGTTTAGGGTCATTTCTGCCATATAAATTTGATTTAAAACTCAGCTGGAATCGGTCACTTTTTGCCGAATCCTGGGGTCCCCCCAACAGGGGCTAAACCCTGACACCCTTCGTCGGCAAATGGTTTTTTTTTTGGGAGGCCCCTAAACCCTGACACCCTTCGTCGGCAAATGCTTTTTTCTCCCCGCGGGGTCCCTAAACCCTGACGCCCTTCGTCGGCAAATGGTTTTTTCACCCCGCAGGGGTCCCTAAATCCTGACGCCCTTGGGGCAAATGTTTTTAACCCCGGGGGGGGCCTAAACCCTGACGGGCAAATGTTTTTTTCTCCGGGGGCCCTAAACCCGAGAGTTTCGCTCATAGGGTTTAGGGTCTGCAGGGTTTGGGGCATAGGTTTAGGGCCCTTACGGTTTGGGGCATAGGGTTTAGGGCCCTAGGGTTTGGGGCGTAGGGCTCCCTATAAGGGCTTCTAAACCGCAGGGTTTCGGGCCCTAAGAGCATAGAGCTTAGGGCCTGAGGGTTTGGGGCATAGGGTTGAGGGCTTCGGTGTAGGAGTGGGCCATTAGATTAGATTTTGGGTTTTGGGTCCACTGGATTCTGAGCTTTAAGCCTACTGGGAATGTATTGTGTGAGCTGTATATGTTCTCAATGTTATGGGTTTCTTGGGTGGGTGTGGTTTTTGCCAACGCTTGACAAGCTGCTTGACTAGTGAATGCTTGGACTTGAGATGCTGAACCCTAAGCCCTAAACCCGAAACCAAAAACCCGAAACCCTAAACCTTAAACCCTCAACCCTAAACCCTCAACCCTAAACCCTAAACCCTAACCCTAAATCCTGTACCCTGACCCCACTTGAGCCCCCAAAGCCTTGGATTCTGAGACCCCATAAGCTGCAAGCCAAAGCTCCGGTGTTTACGAAGAGCGGCGTCAGTAGCACTTGGTAGCCCAGCGGCATCCTTCTTCGAACTTTTGGGGTTTAGGGTTTAGGGTTTAGGGTTTAGGGAAAAGGGTTTAGGGTTTAGGGTTTAGGGTTTAGGGTTTAGGGTGGGTACCGTGAGAATTGCAGGGTTGATGTCAGGGTTGATCGCAGAGCTTACCGTCCTGAGATTGAGACCTCGACCTGTTTTGCTTCGACTTGGGGCCACTTGAGGTTGGGGCTATTTCGCACTTAATTGACCCTAAGCCCTAAACCCTAAACCCCCTAAACCCCCCAAACCCCCCTAAACCCGAAACCCTAAACCCTAAACCCTAAACCCTAAATCCTAAAACCCAAAACCCAAAACCCTAAAACCTAACCCTAAACCCTAAACTTGGGTTCGGCCGGTCCACACTAACAGTCAAATAACGCCGTGGCCTTGTAACACACAGGCCAAAAATAGCACCAGGAATCCCAGTGAATATTAGCATTTACCGGGTGCTGCTTTTTGTGGGTCTGCTTGTGGTGACTGCTAGTCACATAGCACCAGAAACAGCACCAGAAATAGCACCAGAAATAGCACCAGGAATCCCAGTCAATTTTGGCAGCTTAGCATTTACCGGGTGCTATATCTTGTAGGTCTGCTGATGGTGATTGCTAGTCACATAGCACCAGAAACAGCACCAGAAATAGCACCAGAAACAGCACCAGAAATAGCACCAGAAATAGCACCAGAAATAGCACCAGAAACAGCACCAGAAACAGCACCAGAAATAGCACCAGAAATAGCACCAGAAATAGCACCAGAAATAGCACCAGGATAGCACCAGGAATCCCAGTCAATTTTTGGCATTTCCCGGGTGCTTTTATTTGTGGGTCTGCTGGTGGTGACTGTTAGTGTGGACCGGCCGAACCCAACCCTAAACCCTAAACCCTGGGGTTTCTTGGGCGCTGACCTCCCTGGGATGGAAGTCGTGGCGGGGTCCAGGTCACTGAAACGCTATGAAGCCAACAGCCAGGGCCGCGGGCAGGCTGGGCGGATAAGGCGTTGGTTCATGTCAAGGGTTTAGGGTTCAGGATTTAGGGCTTAAGGGTGAAGGGTTTAGGGTTTCAGGGTTTAAGCCATTTAGGCGTTTGGGGCCTACACAACTTCAAAACAAGGTGCGATATCAGGGATTTTCATTGTCAATGAAGATCGGCAGGCATCAAAGCCCTGCACACGGATGATGCTTAACACTTCGTGCCTCAAACCCCGAATCCTAAACCACGCTTTCTTCACCGGCCTGCCACCTCTCGTGCAACCTCTTGTTTTGGGGGTCGGCGTTCATGATATTTCTTGTATTTTAGGGGTTAGGCTCGAGGACGGTCGTATTTGGAGTATTTTTCAGATGTTTCAAAACGGAAAAGACGTCCTGCGATCTAAGAAATCATGGTCTTTTTGGGGCATATATATATACATATATATATATATGTATATACATATGTATATATATCTATATATATATATATATATATGTGTGTATATATATATATGCACATGCGTATATGCATGTGTACAGAAGAGTTCGTGCTATCATTTCTCGTCCTTCACCCCGCCCCAACACCCCCACACAAGACCAGCACTGCTCGGCCCGATGTCCGACGCCCTAGGAACCCCAAGACTATCTTTAGGGGGTGGACGATTTTGGGGTTTTTTCAGGGTTTAGGGTCTACCGGGTTTAGGGTTTAGGGCTACCGGTTTGGGGCTAAGGGTTTAGGGTTTAGGGCTAAGGGTTTAGGGCTAAGGGTCTAGGGTTTAGGGTTTAGGGCTAAGCGTTTAGGGCTTAGGGCAGTTTGGGTGGTGGAGGTCGATTACGTCAGCCACTGGCCCCAACGCTTCGGCGCGGCGCACGCGCCCCGCCCCTCGGTCGCGTCGCGCACAAGGGAGGGTTCCGGAAAGACCCAAAACCCCCGGGTTCTTAGCAGGGAATGAGGGAAGTTAGGGCCATCTATGTACCCTTTATAAGGGAATTTTAATAGGGTACCTCATTCCCGCATTTTTTACTAAGAACCAGCCAGAAAAAGCTTCCGAGATGCACCCAGTGCTTCTCTGTTCTAGGGTGTTGGGGGCTTTGTTTCCAGTTTCGTTCATTGTTAAATGCAGGGTTGCAAGGTTTCGTTTGGTGCAGGGTTGTAAGGGTTTTTCGGGTTTTGTTTTTTGTTTTGAGGGTGTTAAGGGTTTTTGGGGGTTGAGGGTTTAGGCTCCGGGTTGAAGGGGTTGTAGGGTTTAGGGCTGGAGCGTGCAGACCTGCAGGTGTTGGTTCAAGTTGAGATCTTGTCGGGGGAGCTTGTCTGTTTTGCAAGGCTCCTCCTCTTCAACCCCTAAACCCTGAACCCCAAACCCTAAACCCTAAACCCTAAACCCTAAACCCTAAACCCTAAAGCCTAAACCCTAAACCCTAAACCCTAAACCCTAAACCCTAAACCCTAAACCCTAAACCCTAGCCCTAAACCCTAAACCCTAAACCCTAAACCCTAGGCCCGGCTCCTCCTCTTCCGCAACCTTCCGGCCCAGGAGGTTCGGACAACTGGCGCCCTCTGCTCTACGAAGTGGAAGCCGAGCCGCCTAGGCTGAGATAAGAACCCTAAACCCTAAACCCTAAACCCTAAACCCTAAACCCTAAACCCTAAACCCTAAACCCTAAACCCTAAACCCTAAACCCTAAACCCTAAACCCCAAACCCTAAACCCTAGACCTTAGACCCTAAACCCTAAACCCTAAACCCCTGAACCCTGAACCCTGAACCCGTAGACCCTAGCCCTCTGTAGGCCCTTTAGGCTTCTCTCTTGGACCAGCTACTTCGGCCCAAGGGCACACGACCTTGTTTGAGGTAGGGCTTCAACTTGCCCAGGTCGGTTCAGGTTCAGGGTTCAGGGTTTAGGGTTTGGGGTTTAGGGTTTAGGGTTTGTGGTTGAGGGTTTGGGGTTCAGGGTTCAGGGTTTAGGGTTTGGGGCACCTGGCCCTTGCCTCAGTGAGAAAGGATTAGGATCTTGAGCATTTAGACCCTACCGCCAACCCTAAACCCTACAACCGAAGCGCCCAACCCTAAAGCCCAAACCCTAAACCTTGAACCCTAAACCCTAAACCCTAAACCCTAACCCTAAACCCTAAACCCTAAACCCTAAACCCTAAACCCTACAGCCTACAGCCTACAGCCTAAGCCCCCAGCCCAAACGCCCAAACCCTAACCCCTACATCCTAAACCCTAAACCCCCCAAAACTCTACACCTGGTGAGCGATCCTGCAGCTGAGGAATTATTGCCTCTGGCGCGCCTTGCCTGCAAACACCAAGCCCTTAAATCTCGATCCGCGCCCAGAGAGCAGGATGTAGGGTTTAGGGTTTAGGTTTTAGGGTTTAGATTTTCGGGTTTAGGTTTTAGGGTTTAGGGTTCAGGGCCAGTTCAGGGCTTAGGGTTTAGGGCTGACGGTTTAGGTTTTGGATTACCAAGCCCTCTTGCATTGGCGGTAGTACCGAACGACTCCTGCTCAACCATCATGCGGCGGACTTCTGCCTACAGAGAGTTGAAAGTTTTGGGGCCTGGGGTTTAGGGTTTTTACATGTAGCTACGAGGACTATCCACTTATGGTCCCTAGGAAGTATTAGGGTTTAGGGTTTAGGGTTTAGGGTTAAGGGTTTAGCGTTAGGGCACGATCGAGAACCAAAACAACAAAATACGATGACGACAACCAAAATAGTGTCCAAAAAGAGTTTGCGAAACTCAGGCTAAACCCCTAACCCCTAAACCCCTAAACCCCTAAACCCCTAACCGTCTAAACCCCTAACCCCCTAAACCCCTAAAAACCCCTAAAAACCCCTAAACCCCTAAACCCCCTAAATCCCTAAACCCCTAAACCCCTAAACCCCTAAACCCCTAAACCCCTAAACCCCTAAACCCCTAAACCCCTAAACCCCTAAACCCCTAAACCCTAAAGCCCCCGAACCCTAAAGCATCAGAAGGCGGGCTGGTTGTGGGGGTGGGAGCCGCCCTTTATAGGCGCGGGTGGGCAAAAAAACAAATGACGCGGCCGACGCAAGGCCCCATTCTCAAGAGCCTTGGGTTTGCTCTCCCTTATGCTGACAGTCCTTAATAGGGATTATAGTACCCCCTTATGAGAATCACTATGAAGGACCGGTGGTAGAAGGATTTAGAGTACCCACTATTATGTTCACTATTTACGGACTGTTAGTATGGGGGGGAGCATCCCAAGCTATGGGGCGTATTCCGAGGCATCGAAGCAACTCACATCGAAGTTGTATGCCCAAGCGGCTATCAACGGTCCTTTTTTGCGACGCCCGTAAGTCCTGCAAAAAAAGATTGCCTGGAAACGGCTTCGGGGCTTTGCATTTGGGGCTCAGGGCTTCGGGCTCGGGGTTGGGGGCATTGAGGTGTAGGGGCGCAGGGTTCAGGCTTTCGGGTGCAGGTTGGGACGTTCCCCCCTTATCCTAGCAGTCCTTAGGTATCATAGTACCTCCCCTACTATACCCCTGTGAATTAAGGACTGTTCGCATAAGGGGGGAACATCCAAGGTGTCCCTAAACCCTAAACCCTAAACCCTAAACCCTAAACCCTAAACCCTAAACCCTAAACCCTAAACCCTAAACCCTAAACCCTAAAACCTAAACCCTAACCCTAAACCCTAAACCCTAAACCCTAAACCCTAAACCCTAAACCCTAAACCCTAAACCCTAAACCCTAAACCCTAAACCCTAAACCGTGGGGTTGAAAGGAGCGGACTGGTTTGACATCTGGTCTGAGGCTATCGAGGCCGAGCAGACTGGGCAGTTGTTCTGCACTCGCCTGACGTGCTCCATCCCGCAGAAAGTCTTCAAAAAGCTTCTCCTAGGGTTTAGGGTTTAGGGTTTAGGGTCTTAGGGTTTAGGGTTTAGGGTTTAGGGTTTTAGGGATTAGGGTTCAGGGTTTAGGGTTTAGGGTTGAGGCGGTTCAGGAAAAGTGGCAAATACCCTAAACCCTGAGCCTTTAGACTTAGGCCCCTCATCCTGAATTGCCAACCCCTAAGCCCAAAGTCCCTGAGCCCCGGGCAGAAATAGCGACTTAAGAGGTCATGAAGACGTGATGACATGCAACATTTTGTTGTGCTTCTGTTGCTGAAAGTAGATTACAGTAAGGTTCTGAACACTGGGCGGGGTAAACCCTAAACCAGAAACCCTAAACCCTAACCCCTAAACCTTGAACCTTAAACCACAAACCCTTAACCCTAAGCTCTAAATCTTAAACCCTAAACCCTAAACCCTAAACCGTAAACCCAAGCGAAAGGGCAACAGTCGAAGCTCCAAGAGCTCAGGGTTTAGGGTGTCGGGTTGGGGTTAGTTTTCAGGAATTTAGGGTTTATGGGTTAGATTTCAGGATTTTAGGGTTTGGGTTTTGATTTTTAGCGTTTCTTTGGGTTGTCCGGTTCGGGTTTAGGGCTGTTATCAGGGCTTTAGATTTTTGGAGTTGTAGGGTTGGAGGCTTCAGGATTGTCGGGTGTTGGGGTGTTTTTTTTTTTTTTGGGGGGGTCGGGGTTTACGGGGTTTGTAGGGTTTAGGGCGTTAGATGTTAGGGTTTCAGGTTAGGGCTTGGAACTCCCCAAGGCCTCTGCATGTTTAGGATTTATGGCCTAGGGTGGCTTGCGCTTGAGGACTGCAAGGCCCAAAGCCCTAGCTCCAAGAACCTCAGACCTAAACCCTAAACCCTAAACCCTAAACCCTAAACCCTAAACCCTAAACCCTAAACCCTAAACCCTAAACCTAAACCCTAACCCCCTAAACCCTAAACCCTAAACCCTAAACCCTAAACCCTAAACCCTAAACCCTAAACCCTAAACCCTAAACCCTAAACCCTAAACCCTAAACCTTAAACCCTAAACCCTAAACCCTAAACCCCAAACCCTAAACCCTAAACCCCGAACCCCCCCAGTCCGAGCCGTTTCCAGGAATTCCTCCACGTCGTGAATGACCCGGGGGAAGGGTCCCTGTCACGTTTTCTGGGCAAGCTGGAGGAGTGGTTGCGGTTTAGGGTTTAGGGTTTAGGGTTTAGGGTTTAGGGTTTAGGGCTTAGGGCTTCGGGCTTCGGGCTTCGGGGTTTAGGAAGAGGAAGGGTCTTCGCCGAGATCGTGGATTCGGGGCTTGTGGGAAGTTTTGTTCGTTTAGATTTCAGAAGGGAGCACTCTCAGAGCTTCTTGAACCGAATCCTTTCACCCAAACCCTCCTCTCCGCAAGCCCCAAACCCTGAACCCAAACCCTAAACACCAACCCTAAACCCCAAACCCTAAACCTTCAACCCCAAACCCCAAACCCTAAACCCCAAACCCTAAACCTTAAACCCAAAACTTCCAGCAGATGGCTCCACAGGACCAGCGCGATGCCTTCTCCCATGTGGAGGTCCGTCAGGTGCCCCTCTTCAGGGTTTAGGGTTTAGGGTTTATATAGGGTGCAGGGTTTAGGGTTCAGGGTGCTTAAGAGCCACAAAAAAGTTATCCCCATATTGCCCTTGCAAGCAAGTATATATACATATGTATATACGAAAAGATATTTTTTTAAAGATATACTTTTGTTGAGGGGTTTCTTAAGCTAATAACCCCCCAATCGAGATCTCCCGACCCCCTAGCATCAAGCCCCCGGTACCAACTGGTATTCAGACCCTCCTGATATCACAAGACCTCCCACCATCCAATATTAAACCCTCCCCCCCTACCCCCTAATATTCAAACCCCCATGCACCAAACCCATCTCCCACTGACATGAAACCCTTCTCCTACACGTTAGACACTCTCAATCTACAGACTCCCCAATCCCCGAACCCTAATATAGTTAAAACCCCCTCCCCCTACCCATACCCCCCCCCCCCCCCCCAAACATGAAAGCCAGCGCTCGCCCCGAGTATGAAAGCCTCCCAATGATACTCACAGCGCATTTTCGTATGATGGGGAATATGAATCCCTTGACCCTTACTAGTCAACATCCTCATTTTGGCACATTCTGGTCTTCATGGGGAACCCTAAACCCTTGACCCAAAGGTAGGGGGCGCGTTTATCTTGGGGAGGGCCCTAAACCCCAAACCCCAAACCGAAACCCGAAACCCGAAACCCGAAACCCTAAACCCTAAACCCTAAACCCTAAACCCTAAACCCTAAACCCTAAACCCCAGGGGATTGCGGGAAAGCTGTGCGAACTCGTGAGGTGCTGTTCGGTGGGCCACCTCAGGCGCGCGGGCGCGCGCATGTCGCTGTGTGCGGAATCTGGGCCACCCAAGCCCTACACCCTAAGCCCTAAACCCTAGTTTAGGGTTTAGGGTTCAGGGTTCAGGGTTTAGGGTTTAGGGTTTAGGGTTTAGGGTTTAGGGTTTCGGGTTTGGGGTTTCGGGTTTGGGGTTTGGGGTTCAGCCCTAAACCTGGGCAAAAGCCCTAAACCCGAAAACTTGAGCATTGAGGTGTACTTGGTTCCCTTGGCCCCATCGCTGCGGCATGCATGTTTGGTTGTCACGAGTCTGCGCTTTCAACTGCGAATTCTGGTATCCCGCCAGACCCTCACCCGAACGCTGGCGCATCGTGGGCACTGTAGTACAGCAGCCTAAAGTGTTCAATGCCAGTGTCATCACACAAATTCCTGATACAATGATCGTATAAACGACCCAATATTATCTGCCGTGTCCAGACAGGAAACCCTAAACCCTAAACCCTAATCCCTAAACCCTAACCCTAAACCCCAAACCCTAAACCCTAAGCCCAAAACCCCCCTTGCTTTTGCAGCTTTTGGGATCAGGAGGGCGCCACCATGCCGGGACGTTTCCTGCACCTGGGCTGCACCCACGAGCCCCCCGAAAGAGATACTATCGGGGCTAATTGCGAATTTTCCGAAATTCAGGGCACCTTATTGGGGTCGTGATTATGTGGGGGGGGGTCTAGGATTTTGGGTTCAGGGCATTTAGGGTCTATGTTCAGGGGTTGAGGGTTTGGTGTCTATGGACGTTTGGGGTTTAGGATTTAGGGCTTACACGTTCCACTCGGACTTGCCTTCAAGCACCCTCGGCGCCTGCATTCCGCAGGCATCGCGAGGAGGGCAGCGGAGCGGCTGAGACGGCGGCTCGGCGTTTCTGCAGTTGCGGGGTTTCAGAAAATGGAAGTTGGGCGGGGGGCGGGGGGGTTTCGGTATAAGAGGGCTCATCGAATCTTTGGGGCATATCATATGGGACCCCTATAAAAAACGCGCTCGTGTGGGTCCCTGCTGTTGCGGAGTTGCGCTGCAAGCTGGGTTCCGGGAAGTCGCATCTCCGACTTCCGTGTGCGCGTGATGCATACTCCCGTGGTGGGTCAAGGACGTTGAAAAGTCTTGCTTTGGTGTTCTGGGTTTTGGGGTTATGGGGTTTTGGGGTTATGGAGTTTATGTGAGGCTGATGCCGTTTATGGGGGTTCATGGGGTTTACGGGGTTTATGGGGCCCGGGTTGATAAGGATGCTGTTCGAAACATGCAGCGGCGAAGAGTTCACGGGAGCCCTTCAAAAGATAATACAGGCCGCCCACACCATCATCACCAACGTCGAGAACTTCGCGCAAGCAGGTGTTCACACCGCAAGGTGCAATGGCTTGGCTTGA